GCGAAGAGGAGGGGGTGGGGGTCGGGAGGGGGGGGGGGGGGTAGAGGGTAACGTGGTGACAAGGACACATATGTAACATCTTAATCAATAAAAAATATATTAAAAAAAAAATCAGAAATGTACATGTCAAATAAAAATCAGAATTAATCAGTAGGCCTACAGAAAAAGGACCGTATATTTTAGGTAGCTCCAACGGCTGAACCAGGAGATAGTAAATGGAATTAGGGAGGCGTAGATTGTGTCTGAAGATAAAGAAGACCTTTCTGGCGGCAGCAACAACCCAAAAGTCAGTGAAGAGCCCTGAGAAGGGTGTGGGCCCGTCACTTTTCACATTCCAGGAGGATCCACCAGACATGTCTGCTAGGCATGCAGTGCCGTGCAGCAGAGGAGAATGAGGTGAGCTTCCTGCCAATACCAAAGTCATGTGGTTCTGTTTCTCCTGTGCAACCGACAAATGCCCACTGAATCTGAAGATGACAGAGGCTGTGCACATCACAAGGCACACGGTAGTCCCACAGAAGTAGAGAAGTGATGAATACACAATCTTCACAGCTTGCAGAAACATCCTGTTTGCAAAGTGAGTGCAATAAGTCTGCAATTACTGAATGAAAAACAATCTGAAAAAGTAGGCTAGGAATGTTATTAGTAAGAGAAAAGTGAAAAAAAAATTACTTCTTTTTTCTCCCACCACTTAAGAGATAAATAGTAGTAATCCACCTCCAAATTGGATAAGAGATTAAAATTATTTTATACCAGAATAAATGGGATGTTTAGCTCTCCCCCTTGAAAAAAAAAAGGCTCCTTTGTCAGCTGGTCACACAGACTCTGCTCTGCTGACTCAGGCTGCTCAGTGCCCGGACAGCGGCTCAGGGCACAAAACAAGCCCTCTCCTCCAGGCCTGGGACACAATCAGCTTCTCCAACAGCCGACCAACTGACACGTGGGAAGGAAACAGGAACAGAGCAAAACTACGCTCTCCTCCAGGATACAAACTCGGGCTGTACGCGGCGCTAGAGGGAACCAGGGCCTCTGCAAACGCGAACAGGAAAAGACATTCATTGGCTGCCTCAATCCCAGCAACGGGGTGCTATTTACGGGAGTCTCTCTCTGTCCTTGTAATCAGGGGGGAGTATCCCACTGCTGGACACGCTGCCCTAGGACAGTATGGCCAGTGGCCAGGCGGAGGGAAAGAAGCTTCCTGGAGAGAGTATAGAAAATGACTCTCCCATTTCCCCCAGATCTGGCATCAGCAGAACCCATGTTAAACGTCCCATAAACAAATGCACCTACAACACACCCACATACAGTATATTTATTACACAGGCCTCTTTTCCAGCAAAGAGTCTTGATCCCCTGGATCTCCCAGTGTCCACTCACTCACTGTCGGCCAATTAGGGCCAAAGGTTCAGCCTGCACAGGGAAGCCTGGCGCCCGCCCTGCCTTGAAGCGCACTCTTGGGAATGGAGCCCAGCCCTGTCCGACCAGAAGCAGCCCCAGAGACCCATGTGTCTTTGCAGCCTCCTCTTTCAGCGGAAGACCCCGCCCTCCAATCTTCTGCACACTTTCCTCCTTTCTCATGGCCTGAATTTAGTTTGTGGCTGATCCTTGTGCCCTTTGGAAAGAAATCTGAGCTTAAAAAAAAAAAAAAAGACCAGAGTACATTAGGCAGAGTCTACACCACTTACAGTTGCTAAAGGGGAGTGTTGGCTTATGTGGTGTCTGATTTAGAACCCCATTTCTTCATGCACATTTTAAGGAAGATTCTCAATAGAATTTCTATAAACATATTTTTCACACAATTAATACATAAGATGCTCTATAGTATATGAGGAATACTGAATGTCATGATGGGCTAAGTCTTAAGAATAAAGAGCTCCATTTTTTAATGGGAAAAGCCAAAATAACTGAATGAAATGTAAATACAATTTTTAAAACAAAGAGACCACAAAAATATTTCCTTAAAGAAATTTTATGTTTGTAAATACCTTTGACATTTCACAATCCTGATTCATTAGACATGTAACCGAGTACTTGGCTGTTCCCCATAAAAATTTCTGAAGCAAATGAAATTTTGTGCTATGAGAAGGAGATTATCCTCCAAAAAATCATGTTATTCTATCCAATAGTAGTGCAATTACTTTTATTCCAACCAAATAAAATGTTCTGGAAAATGCTAAACATAACGTACTCCCTTTGGCATAAACATCCATAGTAATACAGTAAGGGGATCTTCCATTTTTGTTTGGAGATGATAATTATGTTGGTGTGGGCCCAACGGCTTCTTTTTTAAATTAAAGATATTCACATCCACCATCCACCCAACTATCGAATTGTTTTTAATACAAAGCACCAGATGTGGGCAAAATAAAACAGATTCACAACACAGGAAAGTAGAATTGGTGTGGATTCATTTTTCTATGTTCCCCATAGCTTTATTTCACATTTCTAACGTTTAAAGTACAAAACAAGAAGATGCAATGGTTAATATTTCAGGGAAAATGAACCTATAATTGACAGGCACCACGCCTTCCTTCCTGGGATAAACACCGGCAATTCAAACCCACATTAGCACTTAGCACCGCCAAGTATTGGAGCCAAGTTACTCAAGCAAGACAGACCATCTTACTTAGGCACTTCCCTTCCCACTGTCCTCAGGCCCCTGAATTAAACCTGTTGTCCTGTGGAGACTGTGCTACCTGATGAACACAAACTCCAGGTGCTAATTCGACAAACGTTCAGTGATGGGCCACCTCGGGGACATCACCCTGTAAGGTCCTGGTAGTTGGCCAGGAGGAGGCACCATGGTCACTGCTTCTAAGAGCTCATGATGAAGAGGACAGACCACCACACATCACATGCAGAAGGAGCTACAATACGAAACCGAAGGTTTAGACTGTGGGGCCTGAGTTCAGAAGATGGAACAGTCGCTTTCTGATCAAGAGTGAATGGGAGAGGATGGTAGGGCCATTCTGGGGACAAAGGAAGTCCCCACACCTAAGTGGAAAAAATCATTTAGCAGTTTAGAGTTCAAAGTCTGCAGCCCAACTGCTATAGTCCGAATGTGTCCCCCCAAATTCACATATTGAATCCTAACCCCCAAAGGTAACAGTATTAGGAGAGGCCTTTGGTGGGGGTGCTTAGGTCATGAGGGTGGAACCTTCAGGAATGATTAGTGTTCTTATAAAAGAGACCCCACAGAGCTCCCTTATTCCTTCCACATGAGGACATGACAAAAAGACACCTGCTATGAAGCAAAAAGAAGGCCATCACCAGAATGTGACCATGCTGGCACC